ACAGGAATTGTGTCTTCAAATTCCTTTTCATAGGACATTTGTTCAAAGCTCATTTTAGCATTAATAGCATGAGTTTAGAATGGCTATATTGCTCATTTACATTGATAAAATATTTGTCAGATGCTATGTGCTTTGTAGGATATAAATCCTTTGCCCTAAATATCCCACTGCTTTGAATTTTCTTTGTACATATTTATGCAAACTGGATATTTTTGTAACATAAAATCCTTTGTTAATTTGACATGTTCTTTCTGATTCATCATAGTTATTTTCCTTTTTAATGTTTTATGTACTTATAAGAGAGAGAATGCCAAGATATGAAATCCCTCTAAGCTTTATTCTGCAAAACCTATTATGTATGCTACAGGTGCCAATAAATGCTGTTTAAAATAATAGTTGAATTGTTGGAATCAGAAAACAATGAACTCATTTTGAAGACCTCTCAGAAGAAAAGTAGGTCAACATATTTTATTTCACTTTTATATAAAGTTTTTATTTCTGATCCATTGAAGTAGTGAAAAACGAAGGCTCTTGTAAATATGTGATAATCCCTATCCTCCAAATTCACTTTTACCACTTAAAATAAACTACTGACACTAAATAAAGTGATACTTAGGATTGTTCAAGTAGAATTATATGATTGTATAAATTCATCTATTTCTTAGAAGCCTAAAAACTATTTTACAAGTTTTAGTCCCACATATCCAATTACTTGCTAAAATATATTCTTGGAGGGTTTGCTGTACCTTCAGAACTCAACATGCTTAATATAGATTCATCTTGAATCCCCATGGAAAGACTCTCCATCTTTTCTGCTTTTGGGAATGATTATATTTCTCTAGTCAATCACGTTCAAAATTATGAATATTTTTCAAACTCTCTCTTCATCTTAATAGCTAATATTTTTCCAAGCAATGTAAAATATTTGAAATACATTCATTAGCTGTGCTTTATTTTCTATTCTCATGGTGACTTTTCCGATCCAAGTCCTTATTTCCTTATTTCTACACTAATGCTAAAGCCTCTAATTGTTTCCTTGCCTCTAGCTTTCCTCCAATCCTCTCTGCACATTACTAAAAAATTAATATCCCTAAAGGATAGGTTTTTATTCTCTAATACCTTAATTAGAAGCATATGATGAATAAAATTCAGGCTATTTATTCTGACATTAAACTGTGTTTATATTTTTAACTTGTTTTCTTCTGAGTTTTATTTGCCACCAACTGCTATTAAGAAACAATGCTATCCAGCTCAGTATGCTGTTACAAGTATCTTAATGCCTATTTTAAAACCACCTATATTTAGTAGAAATGTTTCAGTGATTATTACAAATACAAATTAACCTTCCATGAATACGTATAAATATTATCCATTCAGATTTAATAACATTCTTAACCTTTGGAATTTTTACTATATCTTAGTATTTCACAATTAGGTATTAAAGTCCTTTGTATACATTTGGAAATTGTTAGAGGAGTTAAAATAATATATCAGTGATATGAAGTTTTGCTTTTAAATATTTCGAGGAGATTCAGTTTTGAACAAAGAATGGATTTCACTTAAGTTAATGATATACATTGTGGATTTGTCAAAATTATTAAATAATAGTTATTATTTTTTAATATGATTAATTATGTGGGGATATTGTCAATCATGAAATATTTTCTGAGTTCTGCATATATTAAAGTGTAGAAGAGAAGTTACAATGTTAGAATTATTAATATACAAAGAAAATTAAAGTAAGTTGTTAAAACTTACCTCATACCACATCTCAATCATATTTGTACCTGGCAAATTACTATTTCTAACCATCATGTTTACATGCATGTAGTTTGGGAAAAATGTAGCCCAGTAAAACAGGTCATATAAATATAAACTAAGACTATTAAAGTTTTAGGTTTAATTTATCAATTGCTTTTTTCAAATAAAATACTACATAGGAGTCATTTTTAACATCATTTTAAAATGAATTTTAGAATAAAGTTTAAAGTATTTGAAATATGTATTTACAATACAATAAAATTATTTTTGTTTATCTAAGACACATTATTAGATTTAATGTGATGTTTATGGATATCTTTTAGGAAATAAATGCAAAGTATTTTATTAAATATATTATATTACATACACATCATCTGGATATTATTATAAGTCTGTGATTTTCACAGAAGCAAACTTTCTTAAAATAAAAATACAGATAGAGTTGCTTATTGATTCTTAGTGGCATTAAGACAATTTAATATATTTTGATAAATGATCATTATTTAACTTCAGTGAATACTATAAAAAAAGATTAGATTATCTTCTCTTAGCATACGCGAGAGTATCTATTAGGTGATAGCAGCATGTGTTTCCTTCGAAAGTGTGGAAAATTGCCAGTGCTTTGAGAAACAGAACATTGTAGTTTCATAAGAACAAGGAATGTGTGTTCTGTGGCCTCTTTGGGAAACAAGCCTCAAACACAATGCATAATGTCTGGTAAATATTAAATACTCATTAAAATATTAAATGAATGAATACCAAATACTGAAATGACACTCAAAAATGATAATTTATGTAAATGGAGAGAATAAACAATTGTCTTAGGTGGGCTTGGTTTAAGTGTTTATATCACCAGAGAGAAACTCCTTTTTCCTGCCTTTGATATAAGTTTTAAGTCCATTATCTTAAACTCTCTAAAGTCATTACAACTCTCCTTATAATTACATTCATCATTTCATCACCTTTTCTATGAGCAACTGAGTTTCTTTTCCCTACCGTATCCTATGGTATTCACTATTACCTTTTACTTGATATTTTTCTGTTTTTTATTATTTTTTGTTTTTTTCTTGCTTCAAGGCACATGTAAAATTACAATTACCATTGGGTGGATTCATGTGAATGGATTCTAACTCTTTTACTCTGGTACAGAAACTTTTAATGTTTGAGATGGAGGCTACTCTGTTAGCTTGGGATTCTAAGTAAGTTTCTGTGCTGATTTAAAATGACAAATAATGTAAGAAAAAATATAAACCCTCATTGTTTAAGCCCCCATGATTTGAAGCCTTTCTTTCACTGCAGCATAAGCCAGCTAATTCAGTTGTATATCCCCCTAAACAAATAATGGTAATATTCTGGAAAGTGATTAGAATCTAATTTTCTTCATTCATTTATAAATCTATTTTATCAATTAATATTGACTATATATATATATATATATATATATATATATCTTCCAAGAGTTATTCATGGCACCATATAATGAGGGTGAGAATTATTAACTTTTTATTTCCTCCTTTAAGCTCCAATCTATATGACAGGTTGTCACATTTTATATATTCAGAAAAATGTTTTAGGTTCGTCATGATGGCTCATGCCTATAATCCCAGCAATTTGGGAGCCCAAGATGAGTGAATCCCTTGAGCTCAGAAGTTGCTGAACCAGCTTGGGCAACAGGATAAAACCTCATCTCAACAAAAATACAAAAAAATTAGCCAGAATGGTGGTATGCACCTGTAAATCCAGCTACTTGGGAGGCCAAGGTGGGAGGATAATTTGAGCCTAGGAGGTGAAGGTTGTGAGCTGAAATCACATCACTACACTCCCACCTGGGTGACAGAGGGAGACCCACTATCAAAAAAAAACGTTTTGTATGAATCGAAAAGAAAGGTAGTTAGGGAGGCTGGATGGAGCAGACATTAATGAAAATGACTATAAAAATAAAATTATAATTACTCTTTGATAATTATTGTGAGGATGATTATTTTAGCAAGCATTTATTAAGCATCTTTGGTGTATAAAGATGTTCTTTACCTTAATTCTCCTAAAAACTCCAGCAAACAATAATTATGGTTTAAGTTATTCACTATTATAAAATGTTTCACAATTATGTAATGATTGTGAAATCAATAATTTAAAAGTTAAAATGAAAAGATATGTTACTTGTGAAATAGTATAATATAATTTATATACTATACAGAGACCTACTGTTTTCAAACTTATGCTATTTCCATTTTGCTAAGATATAATTTCATTTTAAAAATAATAAGAGGATGATACAACTGCAGTACCTATTTCAGAATATTTATAGTCATTTCTAAGGAAGGCTTTTTAAAATATACTAGAACATCACCATTACCATTAATAGCTAGTGTAAACTGTTTTCTCAATTACAAAAAAAAGGCTTTAGATAACTTCTGACTACTTTTTCATGTTTTAGTGGGTATCATATTAAAATGGTATTTTAAGAGACTCACATGAAGAAAAAGCATAGCATTCTACCATGAATATAGATACACTATACATTATATAACAATATTCATTGTTCGAATACGGGAACTATGATAGAAATGCAAATTATAGGAGAAGGAGAAAAATCAACATGAATGATGGAAAGGGAAGTCTTCTCACTAATCTATGACCTGTCTGTCAGTGAGCTATTCAACCAAACAGAATTCAAGGAAACCTCAGAATCAAGGGTCTCAATTCAAATATGTTTTCACCAGGGCATTGTAGTGCACAGGAGAACTGAACTAGGTACAGAAAGCTCCTCTGATTTCACTATGATCAGTCAGATGCTGATTCCATGTTTATTGGAACAACTAAGTTTGTTCAACTTAGTGTTTCCTGCCAATCTGGTTCTAGCTCTACAGAGAAATTTAAAGCCCTATACAGAAAAAATGGAAAGAAAAACAAGGATTCTCAGGTTTTTCATCTGCAGAAGGTTTATAAATAGGAGAGAGCAGATAGATTCACTGTAGAGAGGAGGAGAGTGGTAACAAAAAGGTAAATATGATCAACAAAATTAAGAGTAGACAGTTTTAGTTTCCAGAATGCATGGGTAAGAATATCTGAAACTTTGTTTCTCAAAAAAAGCAGTAAGAACACTAGCAAAAATGATCAAAATCAAATTTTAAAGAAATTTGGGGATTAACAAATGGGATACAACAATCTGAGGAGCATCTAGTCAATAAAAATACCTGTATATTAGTATGACCATCACGATTTACAGAATAACTTACCATATTCAAATTTCTTTCTGCTTAGCTTTGCAGTAGCACTGAAAACCAACAACCTTGAAATCACAGTAGCTGTAAAAAGTATTGGCCTAGCAATTCTTAGAGGAAACAGAATGAATTTGATTTACAGTTTCACAAAAGTTCCACCTTCAGAAAATTGTTACTATTTAACCTGTCAGTTACCTGAAAAGGACATTTAAAAAAAATATATGACCTGACTCAGAGTTCACTCAGCATGAATAATACTTTTCTGAGGCATTTGCTCAAAACCATGAGCAGCAATTGTTTAAATTGCAGATGCCCAAGAAAGTGTTGATAGTTTGGGCAAAGAAGGAGAACAAAAACCATAGAAGAAAAATCTGGGACATGAGTAGCCTGTAAAGGACTTTCAAGAGCTTTGATATATTCCTGGGAATCTGGAACTGTATGCATATTGCAAAATGGTGTGCATACCAAAGAAAAATGTTAGAAAGTTCTTGTGTTTCACCCGTAGCTGAAACTGAGATCCTGTACAAACAGAAAGTGTGAAGGCTTAGAAAATATTTTAAACTGATTGCCATAACATTGAAAGTGTGTGCCAACACATATACTGAACCCCTTGTCCAAGATGGGGAGACCTATTGGTGCAGCACATTTCAGGAAATCTCTGCCTAAACATCAGCTGAAAAGAGACGTCAGTAGTAACATATGACACACAATAGAGATATTATGAGATTATTCAGGAAGGTTACTAAAACATCAGAGAGTAACCACAACCAACACTTGGGAGGAAGAGAGCTAATTACTACAGTTGTAATTTTTTGTTATTTAAAATTTTCAGTATTCAGGAAAAAAAAATGAGAAATGTAATAAAACAGAAAAAAAAATATTTCCAGTATGAAGTGGGGGAAAGCAATTAACAGAAAATATCCCTCAGAAGCCCAGACAATAAATTTAGTAGAAAAAAAAGTTTTAATCAGCTATTATAGACTGGGCACGATGGATCACACTTGTAATCCCAGCCCTTTGGAAGGCCGAGGTGGGAGGATCACTTGAGCCCAGGAGTTGGAGACCAGCCTGGGTAATATAGTGAGACTCTATCTATATTAGTCTGTTCTGATGCTGCTGTAAAGAAATACCTGAGACTGGATAATTTATAAAGAAAAGAGGTTTAATTGATTCACAGTTCCACATAGCTGGGAAGGCCTCAGGAAACTTAAAATCATGGTGTAAGGCACCTCTTCACAAGTGGCAGGAGAGAAAATGAGTGCCAACAGAGGAAATGTCAGATGCTTAAATAACCATCAGGTCTCATGAGACTTACTCATTATTACAAGAACAGCATGGAGGAAACCTCCCCCATGATCTAATTACTTTTAGTAGTATATGCTTGTAGTCACATCTATTGAAGGGGCTAAGGCAGGAGGATCACTTGAGCCCAGGAGATTGAGGCTGCAGTGACCTGTGGTCATGCCACTGTTGCTCCAGCATGGGTAAGAGAGCAAGACTGTCTCTAAATAAATGAAGTCAGCTGTTATAAACTTATTCAAGTACTATATAAAACCATATCTGAAAACACTGATAGTATGATAGTGTCTTTTCAGAGTATATAAATTAAAAGATCGAAATTATTTTTATTTTATTTTATTATTATTATTATTTTTTTTTGAGACGGAGTTTCGCTCTTGTTACCCAGGCTGGGGTGCAATGGCGTGATCTCGGCTCACCACAACCTCCACCTCCTGGGTTCAGGCAATTCTCCTGCCTCAGCATCCCGAGTAGCTCGGATTACAGGCACACGCCACCATGCCCAGCTAATTTTTAAAATATTTTTAGTAGAGACGAGGTTTCACCATGTTGACCAGGATGGTCTCGATCTCTTGACCTCGTGATCCACCCGCCTTGGCCTCCCAAAGTGCTGGGATTACAGGCTTGAGCCACCGCGCCCGGCCGATAGAAATTACTTTTAAAAGCTAAGTCTCGAATTGAAATACAAGTGCTAAAAGAAAAAAAGCACTGCGATGGGGCTCAGTGGCATATTTAAGCTTCAAGAACCATCAGTAAACTTGAAGAGAAGTAAATTGAAATAATCCAGTATAAATTACAGACAGAAAAAGAGTAAAGAAAAATGAATAAACCCCTGAAATGTGTGGAACATCATTAGATCATCAGTGTGTCAACTTTTAGAGAAATTCCAGGAGGTAAGGAAAGAAAGAAAGATTCAGAAGGAATACGTGAAGAAAAATGACTGAAAATGTTCACATTTTAATTAAGAACTTTAATCCACACATTTAAGAAATTCAATAAACTCCAAATTGGAAAAATTCAGAGATGAACAGTAAAAACATCACAATCAAATGATTAAAAGATAGAGAAAAAACTTTGAAAGCAGCAAGACACAGGCATCTCACCATTGAGAAGGGATCTTCAGCAAATCAATGGCTGACTTCTCATCAGAAATTATGAAAGGCAGAGGACAGTGCTGTAATATGTTCAAAGTTCTGAAATAAACAGACTTTTGGCAGGGTGTGGTGGCTCACGCCTGTAATCCCAGCAATTTGGGAGGGCTAGGCAGGCGGTTTACCTGAGGTCAGGAGTTCAACACCAGTGAAACCAATATGGAGAAACCCCATCTCTACTAAAAATACAAAATTACCAGGGTGTGGTGGCACATGCCTGTAATCCCAACTACTTGGGAGGCTGAGGCAGGAGAATCACTGGAACTAGGGAGATAGAGGTTGCTGTGAGCCAAGATCATGCCATTGCACTCCAGCTGGGACAACAGGAGCAAAACTCCCTCCCAAAAAAAACAACAACAACAACAAAAAAATAAAACAAAAAGACTTTCAACAAAGAATCTTATATACAGCTATACTATCTAACAGAATATGCGATACTCAGTAATTCATAAAGAAAAGAAATATATTTCTCATGGTTTTATAATCTGGGAAGATCAAAGCACCAGCAAGTTTGCAGTCTTGCAGGAATCCAGTCTCTGTTTCCAAGATGGTGCTTTGAATGCTTTTTCCTTCTGAAGAGAGGAACAATACACCCTTACACAGTGGAAGGTGGGAGGGCAAAAAGGGGGCCAAATCATCTTCCTCAAAGCTCTTTATAATTGCATTAATCTATTAATGAGAGCAGATCCCTCATGGCCTAGATGCTTTCCAAAAGACCCCACCCTGACACTGTTAACATTAGTGATTAGTTTCAATGTGAAGTTAGGAAGCAAAAGCAAGTCACAGCAGTATTCAGTACATGTCTTTCTCAGTGGGTAGCTTAGTTCTTGGCATTTTTCTAAGGGTAAACACGAGGTCATAGATCATGCTGTTGGTCTCATATACTTCTATCGAAGGAAACCCATGGGAAATAATGAAATAGGATAACTTTATGTTCCAAGGAAGGCTTTATTAATGGAACTAAATGTATTGGATCTTATGTCAAGGGTTATATATTTTCCCAGAGAGCACAAGCCAGTGAGAAGGTAAATGAAGGCATGCTAATCACACAGAAATAAACAATCCAGTGAAGCACATAAGGTGCCCCTCAGAATTCAATTAGCATTAATATGCTGTTTCTACTTTAAATTAACAGCATCTGTGCAGAAGACAGAATATGGTTTTAGAGTGCTAAGGCAAATTGCTAGGGGGAACACATCTGAGGATGATGTGTTAAGATCTTTAGTAATGAGTGAAAGTTTTTGATAGATTTTCTTGAGTCAGCTGCATAGGCAGCATTACCTGTTCTTATATAGAACAGAAATTTAAAAAAGGTTTTAACTCCCTTGAATCAAATCCTGCTTGTTGGGTCAGAATGTCATGTCTAATCATATTACCCAAAATGAGCCATTATACATTTATTTTCCCTCTGACTAAGCTCTGCTGGGACACAAGATTTACCAACCATCTCCAAAATTGCCCCAGGAGGGTCCTGGTTGCTATCAAGGATCTATGTCAGTATCTAAAAGTAGTGAAGGAAATGGATAGATGAAGCACATGGCCCAGTGAGGATGGGAATAAAAGACCATCATAGAAGGGAAGGGACACCCAAATTTGTGTCTCTCCAAACATGATTGACATAAACCATACAAATTCCCCTTCTACCTACTTTGTTTTTTCCAAAAAAAAAAAAAAAAGTGATTTAATCTAGAGATGTGGGATAACATTAATTTCCTGGTTTATGAACATCACCCAGAGAGGGAGGGTGGTCATGAGACATATCAACATTTTAAGTGTGCAAAGCTGCAGCTCTAGTTACTTAGCCCTAGAGATGTCATTGCTGTAATAGCTTGTGAAATTCTTTCTTGAACAAGCATCTCAACACTCAACTGTTCTCAATGAAAATATGAGCAGAGTCTACAAAAGGGTTCTCACTAAAGGAGAGGTCAGTCTTATTAGTCTGAGGAAGAAGAGTACCCAGAGTGGTTTTATTGCTTCCTGAATTATTTCCAGATCTTCCTGTTCCAGGAGCCCCTATTCAGCCTGTCTGGTGATTGGTGAAGATACTGCAGTAACACTACCAGTGAAGAATGTTCTATTTGTCTAAACATATTACAGTATTTTTAGAGAAAGACAGAGAAATCACATTAATATATTTTTTTCTATACATGCACATTTATGATTATGTTTAATTTATAAGTTAGGCACAATAATGATAATTAATAGAACAATTATATCAATATACTGTAATAAAATTTGTGTGAATGTATCTCCCTCTTTCTCTCAAAATACTATATTTTCTGACTGTCATTAAATGTGGTTAACTGAACTACCGAAAGCAAAGCCACTGATGGGGGTACTATGGCAATTTTACAGGCAAATATCTTGTTTACTAGAAATTAAACATGGTGACTAATTACTCTAATATAGGAAACATAATACTGTTTACATTATTTTATAAGAGTTATAAGACATAGCACTAGCATTCACAGCAGGACTCTGAGCTTTACATTGTTCACATTTGCAGGGAGTTGCTCAAAGAACCATTTGATTCCTAAGAACTGAAGTCTCAAAATAATTTCATTTGAAAAATTGTTCAGAGGTTGTTACGGTTAATATTAGGTGTCAACTTGATTGGATGGAAGGGTGCTTAGATAGCTGGTAAAGCATTGTTTCTGGGTGTTTCTGTGAGGCTGTTGCCAGAGGAGACTGACATTTGAGTCAGTGGACTGAGAGAAAGACCTACCCTCAATGTGGGAGGGAACCATCCAATCCCCTGTCATCTGTCTAAAACAAGGCAATGGGAAGAAGGTGGGATAAGTTGGTTTGCTGAGTTTTCTGGCTTTCATCTTTCTCCTGTGCTGGAAGCTTCCCTTCATTCCTCAGGCCCTTGGACGTCAGACTCCAGGTTCTTTGGCCTTTGCATTCTTGAACTTACACCAGTGATTTGCCAGAGGCTCACTGACCTTCAGTCACAGACTGAAAGCCATACTGTGGCTTCCCTGCTTTTGAGGTTTTTGGACTTGAACTTAAACACTCCTGGCTTCTTTCTTCCCCACCTTGCAGATGGCCTATCATGGGGCTTAGCTTTGTGATCCCGTGAGCCAATTCTCCCTAATAAACTCCCTTTCATATATACATATATCCTATTAGTCTGTCCCTCTGGAGAAGCCTGACGAATGCACAAGGAATTGAAGTAAACTGTGCCACTGAGTTGAT